TCTCTTTCACAATGGTATCTTCTTTTGGTTCAACTTGTTCTGCTGTCTTCTCTTCCTTCTCATCTTGTCCTTTTTCTGCAGATTCAACACCGTCATCAGCTTGCTTCGCCAGCACGAGAGGTGAATCTTTTTCGGGTTCAGCTTCGGGTTTGGATTCACCAACAGGAGGTTCATCAGTCTGCTCCTCCTTCTCGACAATCGGGTCTGAACCAGTTGAAGGAATATCTTTCACAACATCAGCAGTTTCTTCATGAGAAGAAACTGTTTCTTTCTCCATCACTTTAGCCTCCTCGCTCGCCTTCTTCTCCACGGGCTGCATAATCAGGTAAAGAGGCGACAACCCTTTATAATTCTCTTGCCTTTTACGTATATTTGGTAAGCTAAATTCTCATATCCGCAGAAAAACTGGAACGTATAGTATGATCAAGATGGTGAATATAACATAGGATACCCTTCTACAACCTCTCAACAACAAAAAAAAAAGGTTTGAGGTTTTTCTCATGACCCAAAGATGAAAGGTCTCTTCTGCATAAGTCATCCTAGTTTCTATAAATCTCCTGACTCTTCTATTTCCATCAGAACAAGAAAGATTAACTGTGCAGATCAAACCAGATCTTAATCTCTGATCCTATGCCAACTCCACTTACCAATGATCTGAAGATTGTTTGTTCGTATAATAAACTTGCAGACAAGTCATGAAGCGCATCAAACATATATGTATTGTATATATGTGTGTGTAAAGGAGACAGAAGCAAGGGTGTTACTTACCTCTTCAGTTGGAGTTGGAGTTGGAGTTGCAGAGGAAGACTGGGAATCATCAGCAGCCATGGAAGCAGGTATCAGAAGGAGAGAGAGAGAGAGGAAGAAGAAGGTAGTGGACAGGGTTCAAACTCAAACCAAGTAGTTGTGAACAGAAGACAATTAAAGCAGAGGAAAACATGAAACATAAAAAACAGAGTGGGGAACACTGAATTAGCTGTCACTCACACTCGACCCAGGTTGTCACACACTCTGTATATACCCCCTTTCCTCTTATCACCTTTCTCATGCTTCTATTATTCTGTATCATATACATATGTATGTATGTATATATATATATATAATCCTCTATAAAAAATGACAAATCCGGTATAGCATTGTATCTGTACAACGTATATTGTATTTTTCTATTTATGTTATGATTTGTTGCCTAATGTTTTTGAGAGTGATCCAGATCATTCATATGAGAATCTGGAGAAAAAAATATTAACCAAAATTCATCAAATTGTTTATTATTAACTTGTTTATAATAATAGAAGGTTGGATTTATATAATTCTTAAATGTTAAAAAGCTTTATACAGACGTGTATATTACTAAATTATTAGAAGAGCCCATACAATTTGTTATTAAAAATTTGAATATTGCAAAGACAGCAAAACACAAAAGCAGGTGAATTATTAAAGATGTGTGTGTCATCTTTCTTTTTTAATGTGGCTATGTGACAAAAGCCCATGGGGACCATGTGATAGCGACCAACCGATGGGTTCTCTTCTCTGAACCCATTGGGCCCATAAAATATAGGCCCATTTAACTAACGTTCCAAAGTAAGCCCACCAAGCGATTTTTTGTATATAAATGGGCTGGGCTTTTGAATCATAATTATGATAGTTTTTATGGGCCCACAATCATCCGTTTTTGCAAAGAAATTTATGGGCTTTTAGCCCATATATATCTCTCTCTCTCTACCAGCAAAATAACCGAACCGGTGAATTTTTAGAGTGTTTTTATTTTTTGGCAAATTTTTTACAGCCTATTAGTATTTTCTACAAAAAAAAAATAGATATATGATCAGTGTTAATGGTATAATTATTCGTGTTTAGTCAATTTAATCGTGTTGTATTATTAATTATATCGGTGTTAACAATAATTACAAATCTTTATAACTACGTTTAAGTGACGAATATTCATTATAATTTATTTTATGCTAATTTTCAATCGATAGTCCATTCTCCTAAAAATGTTCCACCAACAGCCAATTGTAGCTAAAGGAAATGCAGAAAATTCAAAAGAACCAATTATTATATTGGTTCATTGATTATTCGTCCAAATTGAAACCAATAACAAATTAAACTATATATATATATATATATATTCGGTTTTGGTGTGATGATGAGACGTGCATTGAACTAAAATAGGAATAATAAATAAATAAATAAAGACGGGAGCCAATGAGAAATCGACGGGTGTCACATATGCATAATTAGATTAGAAGAAAAACTAAATAAATATATAAAAAAAATAAGAGAGATTAGATGGGGAAAAGGGGAGAGTGTGAGCCCTATAATGAAGACACAAAAACAGTGGGGGATTCATTAAGATGAGATACAATGAAAGACCCCCACTTATATTATTATTTTTTTAATAATTGCCAAACAAAATTGTAATTATGCATGAAGAGATTTTTTCAACCCGACAAAACCCTTTTTCATAATTGCTCTGTCTTTTTAACTCCTTTAGTAATTATCTTGGTTAAATTCAAAAAACGAAAACATAATCATTGGAGGAAAAAAATGGGACAAACCCAAAATAAATCCCTTATAAAATTAAATCTCATATTTAAAATTCATTATTTAAAACCTCAACCATACAAATTAGTTATAAAAAAAAAAAGACCATAAACATAGGCAGAAAGTAACGGATTTATTTATTTTTTTAAAAAAAAATATCAAACAGGTATATCACCATTTTTTATTTTTTATTTATGTTTTTTTTACAAAGGTTGGTATTTTTTATGTTATATATTACATTTTTAATTATAATTATAGATGCTTCGATTTATACTATGATTTATGATATATCCTCATGCTTTGATTACATAAACATTTCCATATATATATATGTTCGTGTCAACTTGACAAAATCTTTATTCATCATTTCTTCGTTTAAGATGTTTGAATTTTCTGTTTAGGCTTTTAGCTTTATGCATTTTTTTTCCTTTCTGTGAAAGGATGTGCTATTTTTTTCTTAAAGAAATTATATGGTACCTAATTGTCGGGGTTAATACTTAAAATGGGCTTAATTAAACCTTCCTAATCATATTGCTTGCAACTAAAGAACCATGTGACTAAGATTTGAGAATGCCTATGATGCCTATCATGGAAATTACAAGACTATTGAGTGGACTTTGGAAAATATTTCGGGAATGACATTTTTAATGAAAAGTTCCAAGATATTTTTTTTTTAATTCAACTAAAGAATTGATAATTTCTATTAACACATTCGGTCTATAATTCGATTTTTTGTTATATACATATATTCAATCAATTTGGTTTAAAAATTATTATATATGAATCGATTTTTTTTTATTGAATTGATTGATTTTATATCATATTATTTGGTTTCATTTAATTCAATTATAATTTTTTAAAAATGATTTGTATTTCTATTTTTCGGCATGATATATATGGTCATCTCAGAAGCCACAGGCCGACGGCAATTTCAATGGCGTTGACCCTATTCTTTTATTGATTTTAACCCCTACATACATACATACATAAATACATACATACATACATAGTTAGTATACGACTAGTTCGAAATAAAATATGTTTCGACGTTCGGTTCTTTTTTTTCCCTCCTCAAGTGACGCCTAATCATTACTTAACTTCCGCATTAAAAACGTAATTAATTATTAACGGTCCATAAATGGTAATTTTAATTATGGCGATGATCCATCATCATCACGTACGGGATTTCATTCGCGATGCCGACCCCTATTCCTCAGTCGGCTGGGGCTCGTGTTTTGATGACGTGGCACTATATCATCCGTGATTAAATGTGTCTAATTTTGATAAAAATTCGATATTTGTACACTAAGCTACCACGACATGTGCTTATGTCAATCCAAAATATCACTTCCCATTTTGTTGGACCCTTAATCTGCTTCTAGAATCCATATATTTCAAACAAAAAATAAAATCAATCGTTTTATGGAGAATTTGTTACGGTTAATCAAATGTATGGTTATTTAGAGTAAGTTTTATATAACCCAATAGATCGTGGGTGAGTGGTCAAACTTAGGGTATGAAATAATTTCAACTTGAGGTTGAGTATTTGATTCCCGACTGGTGGAAGAGAGAGGTAATTTCTGGATAGCAGTTAGAGGTCCTCCGTTATAAAAAAAAATGTTTTATATAAATAATTTTTTTATCATATCTGAAAGGTTACGTGACCATATATGTATATATAACACAACGTAAATACGTTGGATTATATATATATATGCACATATATACATTATACATATATATTTATATAATCAGAATCATCAAGAAGCAGGCATGTTTCGTCTGCCTTGTTATTATTCGTCGAGAATTCGTTGATTCAAAACTCCGTTTAATATAACAAAGATTAGCGCGTTGATTATTATTTGTGGTTGAAGGTAAAATTATGTGGTAATTAATGATTAATTATATTATTAATGACGAAAAGGCAATATTCATGTGATCAAATCATGTTGTTGTTTTTCTTCACTCATACACAATCATTCCAAAGCAAATGATGGTAAAGGTACCATAGCCCTATTTGTAGTTTTAACTATCATTGCTCCTTTTGTTTTTTTCTTCATCTCCCTGCGATTTCCATGGGGTGACTTTGCTTCATATATATGCCACTAACATGCATTCATTCATAATTGAATTTCAATTACATGATTATTTGGTTAAATATTCGAATATAATATAGTTTAAATTGTCTTCCACATGGAGTTCGATGTGAACCCATATACATCGAGGTGCGAACATGCGAATCGGACCTCCTCTTATAATAAGGAAAAAATTATAAATTTCACCGTTCGAATGATACGGAACATGAAGACACATTGACATATACGTATATTATATGGTCGCTACGCACCATAGAAGAGGCGGTCTCTCGCATGGCTTCACGAAGATAAAAACCAAAGTCAACCTTCGAGAAGTTTATATTTAATGTTCAAATCATTCGAAAAGGTAGCGATTCCTTCTCCCATAAAAAAATTACAATATTCCACAACTTCCATTATATATATATATATATATATATATATATATATTATACCCCCTTTTTTTTTTTTTTTT